GTATTTATGCTAGTTGGTGCCACCAGGCCATGAATTACCACTAGGTTGTAAACTCTAGAGCAATTGAAAGTAGGTGAGTTCTTAGGATTTACTGTAGCAGAATCACTGCTGAGGCTTTACTCCACTTTCATTTCTTAAGTCTGTATTCTCTCACTGTCTGGTGGGTGGGTGTCAGAATCCACTGAGGTTTCCATGCCACTCAGGACTATTGCAAGGCCTGTGTCATACCAAGACATTCTTTTTTTTTTTTTTTCCTTTTAAAGATTTTATTTATTTGTCAGAGAGAGAGAGCACAAACGGGGAGCGGCAGACAGGAGAGGGAGAAGCCGTCTCGCCGCTGAGCAGGGAGCCCAATGCGGGACTTGATCCCAGGACCCTGGGATCATGACCTGAACTGAAGATAGACGCTTAACTGACTGAGCCACCCAGGTGTCCCATACCAAGACATTCTTGCCTGGGTTAATTCACTGGAGATTTATTAATTCATTCAAAAAACATTTATTGTGTGCCTGCTATTTGCTAGGTACTCAGCTAGATGCTGGAGATACAACTATAAATAAAATAAAATCTCTGGGATGCCTGGATGGCTCAGTTGGTTAAGCGTCTGCCTTCGGCTCAGGTCATGATCCCCGGCTCCTGGGATTGAGCCCGCATCGGGCTCCCTGCTCAGTGGGAGCCTGCTTCTCCCTCTGCCTGCCGCTGCCCCTGCTTGTGCGTGCATGCTCTCTTTGACAAATAAATAAAATCTTTAAAAAGGAAATAAAATCTCTTCCTCACAGGATTTATATTCTTGTTGGGGAAGATAGACAAAATCTGGAACTAACTGTATTTCCATGTTAGGTAAAATTACATATTGTTTTTCAAGTATAGATCTTCTGGGGGGAACTGAGAACAAGAGAGGATCCTTTAGGTTGCTCTGGTTTCTTCAGTACTTCTTGGATCATAGGGTAATTGGGTGAAGGTAGATGATATGTCTTAAAACTGGTGGTAATTTTTGGTATTGCTGTTATATTTTGGACTAGGTTTAGTTGATTTAAACTTTTTCTTATTTAACTTTACTTTTTGAGTATGTAAGACATTTATATGGTACAGAAGTCAAAACTATGTAAGCAAGTAGCAGGGAAGTCTTACTTTTATCTGTATTCCCTCCGGCTTGTTCTCACCCCCATACTTAATCATTTTTTATGAGTTTCTGACTTAACCTTCCAGTATTTCTTTATAATTGCATTAAATCTTAGGGGAAGGAGAGGAAGAGAGGAAGTGGGAGTCTAAAGGAAGGAAGTGAATGGTGGAAATGAAGAAGAGTTTTATTAATAAAGTAGTGCTTGTGAAATAGTGTTTTATTGGCACTCTTTTTGTCCTGCTTACATACCTCCTAACTCTGAAAAAGGGAATAACTTTAAAAAAAATAAACTTTATTTTGGAATAATTTAAAATTTACAGAAAATTTGCAAAAATGTTCAGAGAATTTCCTTTATTCAGTTTCCCCTAATATCATCTTACATTACCAGTTTTCATGTGTCAAAACTAAAAAGTAGCATTGGTACATTATTATGAAGTAAACTCCATTTTATTACAGTTGAGCATTTTTTAAAAATAAAAAGTTTTATGATAAAATTAGAATGAATGTTATTAAAGAGCAAGCCAAGACAAAGGGCACAAGAGGGTCGTGTGTACATTTACTGCCTTTCACCAAGATTACATCAATAATTTACCTGTAAAGAGTTGATTTTCTTTGTCCCTTCTAGCTCCTGGGAGCATCTTGGATTTTAATTAATCATGGTGTAATGAGAATACTTACCCTAATGCTTTTGAAATAAATAAAATAGGGGAAAAGGCAAAAAGTTGTACAATCCAAAGTCAGTGCTTTAAGTATAGTTGGTTAATTTGTGGAGGAGGTTTTTGTTTTTTGTTTGTGTGTATGGTTTTTTGTTTGTTTGTTTGTTTGTTTTGTTTTGTTTTTTGTAAACCTTCTTATAAAATGTCCTGATGTGGTCAGTTCTGTTGTACCCACCTTAGTGGAAGGAGCATGGGAACAATAGTGATATATTGGTAATCCACCTGGATTAATGTTTGTAGACTCCACTGCTGATTTTAGAATTGTAGAGGTTGGAGTCAGAAGGTGTCTTGGAGCTGGTTGTGCTAACTTCCTAGATAGTGGAAAGATCTCTTCAGTAATATCTATGCATCGATTATAGATTGCATCTCTGGCCAAGCTTTGCACATTGCTTCGTAAAGCAGTCTGTTCCATTATTATTATATTTGTCATAAAATTATTGTATTGAAGGATATATCATTGCTTACTCTGCCCTCTGTGGCAATAGGGGAGTATAAAGACCAAACTCTATCAATTATATATGTATGTGTGTGTGTGTGTGTGTGTATGATGTAAGTGTATGATATATATCCACATATATAGGTATAACCCCTTGCTTTCCTTCTGCTTTCTTTCCTTCCTTCTTTTGAGATATACTGCCCATTTATTATTTACTATTTTATATTTGGTTACGTAGGAATGTTTGGATAAAGAGATGAATAATGATAATGAGTAAAACCTCACATCATAGGGTTCTTAAGAGGATTAAATAAGATCATATGTATGAAGTGTTTAGTACAGAGCATGGCACATGTTAAGCATATAATAAGTGCTGACAGTGTAGTGATGGTAATGGTCTCTGTTATCAAGTCATTTCCTCCTAGATTAATAGGGAAGATAACTAATCAACTAATAAGACTAGGTTAAATGAAATAAGTGCTATAGGAGAGATAGAAACAAAGTTCTTACTTGTTTAAATAAAGGAGCAATTAATTTCAGTTAAGACAAAGGAAGGAGAAGTCTTCTCTCCTAAACTTTGAAGTAGAAATAGGATCTCCTTTAAGAGAATGGTATTCTAGGGCCTGGGTGGCTCAGTAGATTAAGTGTCTGCCTTAGGCTCAGGACATGATCCCAGAGTCCTGGGATCAAATTCCGCATAGGGCTCCCTGCTCAGAGGGGTGTCTGCTTCTCCCTCTCCCTATGCCCCTCCCCTCTGCTCATGCTCTCTCACTCTCATTCTCTTTCAAAATAAATAAAATCTTAAAAAAAAAAGAGAGAATGGTATTCTAGGTTGAGGGGCTAGCATTAGCAAAGGCCTAGGGCTAGGAACGTGCATGACCTTTTTCATGGAACCTTAAGCATTCATGTGTGACTGAGGGGTTGGGTATGTAGAAGATCTAGTGAGAAGTAAAGATAGGATGTGGAGAGGTCAGATTGTACAGGGCTTTGAAAGCAATAGGGCAAGTTTGTACTTTATTCTAGAGGCTTTGGGTAATATTTTCAGGTTTTTGAACAGAGAACCAAGATTGGAATCTTATAGCAAAATAGATGTGGTTAGTGCTTCCTGTTAATTTAAAATCTTGATTGAGAGGGCTAATGAAAAATATATAGGAGGAAGAGATAGTTGCTGTAATCCAGGGTATGAAATGGAAACCATTGGCAGATTGTGTAAAAATGAGTCTTTTAGAATAAGCCCTAAGAACTTTTTATTTTTTAAAAGATTTTATTTATTTGAGAGAGAGAGAGAGAGAGAGAGCGTGTGAGCATGAGTGGGGGGAGGGGCAGAGGGCGATGGAGAAGTGGACTCTCCACTGAGCAGGGAGCCCCATGCAGGGCTCCATCCCAGGACCCTGAGATCATGACCTGAGCCAAAGGCAGACGCTTAACCCACTGAGCCACCCAGGCGCCCCAGCCTGAGGAACTTTTTGTAAATATATTTGGGCCTTTTCATACTTAGAGTATTGAACAAATTTATTAGACAATAACCTCTCTCAAAGAATCTTAATTTCTAGATTGGGAGAAAGGATTAGGTTGCTGTGCACATGGAAAAAAAGAACTGTACTTTTCCAGCTGACTGCATATGTAATTGAAGATGGATTTACCTCAGTAGATTGGGCTGTCTTTCAGCCTGAAGGGAGAGCTTTAAGCATATTTTAAAACTGAGCACTTGATTTCTATTTTTAAGTCTGAAAATAATTATCTGACACAAGGAATTAGCCTTTAGGAATGAATCTGATGTGCCGAGACTTGAGCATTGCCAACATCTTCTCTTTTGATATGCTTTTATTAGGCTATTTGTTATCTTGTATTTTTGTTGATTTCTCCTGTTGCTTAGGGAGCATTTGCCTTTTCAACAATTGGGACTCCAAATGATTTGTGCATCTTAGTTGAAGAAATTGTTGGGAAGAAGGCCTGATCAGGAAAGAAGAGATTGGGGGGCGCCTGGGTGGCTCTGTCGTTAAGCGTCTGCCTTTGGCTCAGGTCGTGATCCCAGGGTCCTGGGACCAGCGGGAAGCCTGCTTCTCCCTCTCGCACTCCCCCTGCTTGTGTTCCTGCTCTCGCTGTCTCTCTCTCTGTCAAATAAATAAGTAAAATCTTAAAAAAAAAAAAAAAAGAAAGGAAAGAGAGATTGGTTGGCTGCTGGTCAGGTGAAGATTTAATTTAAGCTCACAACAGTTGGGTTATTGGCTGGCTGGAGTGCCCAGTGAGTTATGTTTTGGCTTGGCATCTTTTCCTGGTTGTACAGATGATCTGGCATCTTGAGTATACTAGCAACAGGGGTGTATGTATGTAAAAACTGCTTGTTTGTAGGTATGAGATAGACTTGCGTGTCTACTAGTAGTCTTCTGAAGGGAAGAAAGCAAATTACTACTTATATTCCAGGAAATACTAATGCTATTGTACAGGTATATAGTACTTACATAATATTTATGCTCTTCGACAATACTTCATATCTGTTGTCATTTCATGCTCACAATAACCTTGTAAATGAGATTGGGCAGATATAATTCCTATTTGACAGAGGGGATGCTGAGGCATAAATATGAGACTGGGTTAAGGTTACTGGCTCAACAAATCGATAACTGGGACAACTTCCTATGTTTCATTTTTGGATCATAACTTTCAGAAGATTTTATAGGAGGAAAAGCTGAATGTGTCCCTCTTTTTTGTTGTTATTTTTTAGCGACGTCTTAGACACCTTCGGAACATTGCTGCCCGGAACATTGTTAATAGAAGTGGCCATCACCTCCTTGATACTTACTTCACGCTTCACTTGTGTAATACTGAAAAGATATATAAAGGTAAGGGAATCTGTGGACTTGCCCACATATTGTTACATCTCATTTTTATCCTTTTGTAACATGAGTATCAGTGCCTCTTGATTTGCTATTATTACTTATTGGAAAGCTAAACTGTCATGCTGTCTGAAAATATTGCATGAACAGTTGTTATATATATCATATATAAAAGAAACATGGGTTTTGGATAGTTCTTAAATTAGTAGATTTATCATTTATTTATGAATGTTTGCTATTAATGTTTTTATTCCAGTAGCTATCATTAAAATAGATATGAGTCCAGTATACATACTAATTTTATTTTCTTTAAAACATAATTAATTTTTTAAAATATTATGGTAAAATTGGAACCGGTTTATGTCTTCTCATATCTGTAATTCCTTGTGTATATGTGGGGTTACTTTTAGAAGAATGGCATGGTTTCCTTGAATTCATTTGCACATGTACTGTGGATTATTCCATAAATGGCAATTCTGACAGTAGACCAAATAAATATTTGATTCAAAATCACAAGCATCTTTTGAATACATATTGGATGAAAGGCACTTGGATATAATCAGTTGACCTGAGGTGGGTGGTACAAGGGAACAAACAGGGTATATGGCAGGAATACTGAATTAGGTTTGAAAATAGATAGTAGGGCTAGCTGTGTGACACTGGACAAAGATCATGGCTTTTTGAACCTCACTTTTCCCATTTGTAAAGAGGAGATAATGATGCCTTATGAAGTTGGCAAGACAGATTTCTATGAGGAACAACTGAGATAAAGTGATAACACTTGGTAAAATGTGATTGAAGATCTATTTATATAAACAAAAAGTAGTATTTTAATTAGAGGTACTAAGGGCTTATTTGAATTTTGTCCTGTGGCAAAGATGAAAAATTCAAATGACATTTTACCTTTTTTGGTTTTAATTACTTTTTTTTTTTTTTAAGAAGATTTTATTTATTTGAGAGAGGAAGAGAAAGCATGAACGGAGGAGGGGTATAGGGAAAGGGATAAGCAGACTCCCTGATGTGCGGGGAGCCCAACAACGTGGGGCTTGATCCCAGGACGCTGCGATCATGACCTGAGCTGAAGGCAAATGCTTAACCACTGAGCCACCCAGGCACCCCTGGTTTTAATTGCTTTTAAAGACCATTATTAAAGCAGTAGTCATTTAACACCTTTTTTGTTTTTTTAATTTCAATACCAGTATATGCTCATTAAAAGATTCAATCAGGAATTATATAGGGTAGAGCCCCCACCATAATGTAAATAGCATTAAAATAATTTTTAAGGATGAAAAGAAGGACTGAATTCTGAATTTTCGTATAATTTTATTTCATTCTTATTTTTCATTGTAACCATTGCATATTCTTAAAACACTATATTAATCTGAATGATTAATGCTAGCTACTATAACAAATACTGCAAATCTCAGTGGCGTTAACATAATAAATTTCTTACACTAAGTCCAGTGCAGGTGTTCTTTATCAGGCATAGCCTTGGCAGCTGTCCTCTAAGCAGTGACTCAGGTATCCCGGCTTCTTCTATTTTGGAATGCGGCTATTGTCAATATATGACTTTTGGCAAGAGAGAAGGATTATTTGAGGGAGATTTTTTTTTTAACGGAAATGGCCTATATCAATTCTATAACATTCCATTGGCCATAAATCAGTAGTGTCATCCCTTTTAGATGGAAAGGGGACCGGGATATGTTGTCTTCCTATGTGTGCAGAAGGAAAATGAAACGGTTTGGTCATTGTTGTCTTAAGGTATAAGCATTTTTGCAGACCTTAATACATTTGATGTACTGCTCACTAATAGATTTTATCACTAGCAATATATGACAATGCTGGAGTGTTTTATTTTATTTTTTTAGATTAAAAACTTTTTTTTTTTAAAGTAATCACTGCACCCAGTGTGAGGCTTGAACCTACAACCCCAAGCTCAAGAGTCACATGCTCTACTGACTGAGCCAGACATGTGACTCATGCCAGAGTGTTTAAAATTTTTTTTTTAAGATTTATTTATCCATCTTAATAGTGGGAGAGGGACAGAGGGTAAGAGAGAGGGAGAGAAGCAGACTTCTTGCTGAGTGCAGAGCCCCATGGGGGGCTCCATCCCATGACCCCGAGACCATGATCTAAGCTGAAACTAAGAGCTGGGTGCTTAACTGACTGAGCCACCCAGGCGCCCCGAGTGTTTTAAAATTTTTGATAGTTTTCTGTATAATCAGCCCTTGATTATCTTCATAAAACTTCTCTGTTGTTGCTCCAGTGTTATCTTTGATAATAATAATTAACACAGTACTTGGCAGCACATTTTAGGTATTTGGTAATTTGTAATGTTAACAAAGAAGAGAGTAATCATGGGACTGGTTGATGACCATCTTATAAAAAGTTGTCTAAGAGATATGATGGAAACAAAGTGACTTTTTTGGCTTATTTTTTGTCTTCTAGCTCAGACTACACCTTGAGTTTAGAAGTTATAGACTGCTTCTTAAAGTTCTCGCAGTGAAATGGTCATTGATACAGTAAGGGAATAGCTGGTGTACCACAGGGAAGTACAGTCTCTGTGAATGGTGTTGAGTCTGTCACTAACTGGCAAGCCCGGGGGCTAGGGCATTTCGTTCCTCCTGGGAGCTTTGGTGAATTTATCTCTAGAATTGATGATTTCTGAGACTTGCTCCTACTCCAAAATCTCATGGTTGAATGGAGTCTGTTTATGGTCTTCTTGTGGGCCCACGTGTTGGGCTTTATAACTTTTAACTACCATAGGAGGAGCCAGGAAGCTGTTTCCTTAATAAGCCTAGTTAATCCACCTTCTCTTGTTGGACCTGTGATGACAAACACGAATATTCATTTCATGATCATTAGGTGGCTCTTGGTGTAGGATGACCACAGTAGAGGGCCAGTTGGCTCTCCTCACAAAACCACCTGTACCACCTGTTTAGTCTTATTTTTAAAGATTTATTTATTTGAGAGAGAGAGAGAATATGAGCTGTGGGGAGGGGCAAAGGGAGAGAGAGGGAGAAGCAGATTCTCCTCCGAGCAGGGAGCCTGATGCGCGGGCCTCCATCCCAGGACCTGGAGATCATGACCTGAGCCAAAGGCAGACGCTTAACTGACTGAACCACCCAGGCGCCCCTATTTCTTAGTTTTAAAAGAAAGTTTTTGTTTTGTTTTGTTTTTTGTTTTTAAATTGGGAGAATATTTGAAATACTGATCTCTAAGTTACTCTTTTATTTTGGCTGAATTCACAGCAGATCCTAAGAAATTATGTGTGAGATTTTTTTTTGACTTTTGACATCTTTTAGTGCTCTTAGGACATTGCCTACTTTGTTAGGTAGTTCAGATCAAAGTTATCACACCCCCAGAGAACAAAGCCTTGTGTTAATGGATGAAGAGTAGGTTCTAATCGTGGTTTCCTCTTAAACTTGAAATATTTATAAAATCAAGTTTGTTCTTCAGTCATAGTAATTTTTTCACCCATGAAATGTGAGTGCCTGGAATGCCAACCAGTTATTTTGAATACATCAGAGGATTAACTCCATATAATCCAGAAAATTTTAGGTTTTGTTCACTGCACTTGGAACAATGCTTGGCACATTATTAAGTCCTCATATTTTTCATTTAATTTTTTGAATAGCTAATGCAGTCATGGTTCAAAATATATATAAAGGTTTAAAATCTTTCACCTGTCCCATCTCCCTAGTTTTTTACCTCACCCTAATAACCACTGTTCTTGTTTATCTTTTCTGAATTCTTTATGCAAATACAAGTAAAAATAGTACCAAACTATATATATTTCTGTGCCTTGCATTTTTCACCTAAAATGTCTTAGATGTTTTTCCATAGACAGCTTCCCTAATTTTTTTTCTGCATAGTTTTGCATTAAATAGTTGTGCCATGGTTTATTTAACTGGCTTCTCTTGGTAGGCATTTAGGTTATTCTAGTCTTGTTATGCACACAATACTGCTTTGAATAACTTCATAAGTACATTATTTTGTATGAGTGCTAATATAGCTATGGGGTAAATTTCCAAGAAGTGGAAGTACAAAGGATGTGTACTTCTGATTTTGGTAGATATTGCAAAATTGTCTTTATTTATATTCCCACTTGCTAGGTATGAGTGCCTTTTCTCCCAGAGGCTCACCAACAGACTGTGCAATCAAACTTTTGAATTTTTGCCAATCTGATAGGTGAAAAATAGTTTTATAGTATAGTTTAAGTTTGTATTTCTTCTTTTATGAGTGAGGTTGAGGTACTAAAAAAGCATTTGTTAAATGAATGGAATGCTGCGTAACAGCCAAAACATGCCACTGAAACCATGCTCTGCAATCTCTGATTGCTTTGTTTTTCTAGGTCTTACTTAGTATGGATAGAGAAGCATTTGTATCTAATGGGCCCTTTCATGTAGAAATAGGTCTTGGGTGGTATCTTTTTAAAAATTTACTTGTCAAATAGTTTTGCTTAAATTGAATAAAAATTAATAGAACTGTGTTAATGAAAATTACAATTTTTTTTTAAAGATTTTATTTATTTATTTGAGAGAGAGAGAATGAGACAGAGCAAGCACATGAGAGGGGGGAGGGTCAGAGGGAGAAGCAGACTCCCCGCCGAGCAGGGAGCCCGATGCGGGACTCGATCCAGGGACTCCAGGATCATGACCTGAGCCGAAGGCAGTCGCTTAACCGACTGAGCCACCCAGGCGCCCTATTGAAAATTACAATTTATAAAGTGTTTTTAATTCACTATTTCATTTGAGCCTCATAATAACCCTGTTATTTTCCATTTGTCATTATCCTTTGAAAGGTAAACTGTGTGACCCAAAAGGTTAACTGGCTTGTCCAGGGTGAAGATCATAGGTAGATTGGGGACTGGAACTATTTTTTGACTCTAAATTCTCCTACATTCACTATTATGTTTTGTATCATGCTGCTAATTTTGACAATATTTTATTTATTTATTTATTATTTTTTTAAAGATTTTATTTATTTATTTGACTGAGAGAGACACAGCGAGAGAGGGAACACAAGCAGGGGGAGTGGGAGAGGGAGAAGCATGCGGGGCTTGATCCCAGGACCCTGAGATCATGACCTGAGCCGAAGGCAGATGCTTAACGACTGAGCCACCCAGGCGCCCCTAATTTTGACAATATTTTAGATGTAACAGAATGGTGGACAGTGTAGGCCTATGTTTAGCATGTTTGCAATTACCTCAGACTCCATGATTTCTTGTATGGCTTTTTTATGGACCTCTTTCCATTTAAATTAGCAGGTCTCTTTTGAAGGTCTAGTGGAGAAAGCAGATTGTTTAGTTTTATTTATACGTACATTCGGTCAGCAAAGTTTTGGAAGAAATAATGATACTTGTCATCTCTTAGAGCTGAAGATACATATTTTGGGAACTGTTTAATTTAGACACTTTGCAGATTAAACTGAGGAATTCTCTCTTTCTAAAGAAAAGAGGAGTATCTGTTTTTTTCCACTGATTTTAAAGTAATACATGCTTGCAAAAAATTCAAACAGTACAAAATTTTTTTTTGTATAAAGTGAAAGTACTTTGAAATAAAAAACAATTTTTTTCTTCTAGGTTTTTTTTTCCCCTAAAAATAAACATATAAATTAGAATACACACATGCGTACGCGGGCACACACACACACCCCCACACACCTACACACAAACATTTTTATAGTTAATTTATGGTTGGAATAATTGGTTAATCATTTGGAAAAAAATGAAAAGAATAATACTTAGGGTTGCCAGTGTTGGGAAAACAGGTATTTTCGTAAGTGGGATTGTAAATTGATACAACACTTTCATAGAACAATATGGCAGTATCTGCCAAATTCAAACTGTGTTTTTCCTTTTATCTTGCATTTTACTTCTAAATGTTTATCTTATAGGTCCCAGTGCCTACGATATATATCTCTAAATGATTGTTTATTTATAACATTACTTGAAATACCTAAAAATTACCAGTAACCTAAATGTTCATCAGAGGGTCCTTTTAAAAACAATTAGAATTATCCCTTTTTTTATTTCAAATAATTGTTCAAAATAGAAAAGTAGGAACTACTTTTTACAAGCAGAAAATAATAGTTAATAGCCTACTCCTATCAAATAATTGTTCAAAATAGAAAAGTAGGAACTACTTTTTACAAGCAGAAAATAATAGTTAGTAGCCTACTCCTATCACCTTATCACCTAAACATTATTAACATAATTAGAAAAATTTGGATCCTGTTGTAAATTCTTAGAACCTTTTTTTAACTTAATACATAGTGACTATCTCTCCACAAAATAATTATCCATATCTTTTTTTTTTTAGGAAAGACAAAGAGTAATATAGATAGTATGTTTATCCAGAAGTGCTTTAACCTAAAGAGCTTTCCCGTAAGAGTTTGATGTTTAGGCCTACTTTTCATTTATTGCCTGACTATTCCTTAGCTTCAGTTGTTAGTAGACTTTGATATGTTTTACTACATTTGAGTTTCATCTATACCATTATATACTTAATATATATTTTTAAGTTCATTATTTTTAAAATTTTTTAAAGATTTATTTATTTGAGAGAGAAACTGTGCATGTGTGCACCTGTGCGTGGAAGGGGAGGGGCAGAGGGAAAGAATCTCAAGCAGACTCCCTGCTGAGCACAGAGCCCAACTCGGGGCTCCATCTCATGACCCTGAGATCATGACCTGAGCCGCAATTAAGAGTCGAATGCTCAACTGACTAAGCCACCCAGGCACCCCTTAAATTCATTATTTTTAAACCTATGTCTAAGTAAAATAGTTCATTCAATTAAAAAGTATTTATTGAGTGTCTATTCTGTGCCAGGAATGGTTTTATGTGCTGAGGATGCAGCAGTTGGATAAAACAAATGCTTCTGTCTTTTCAGAGCTTACACTTAGGGGTTGAGGAATATATGAGACATAAATTTAAATATATAAGAAGAAAATAAAGTGTGTCCATGTATCGCTTAACCTCATGTCAATTACCGGTGGTCCATGTATCACACCTGGGAAATTTGTCTTATAGCAACACAAGGATACAAGGGTCCGTGTGGACTCTGCAGAGACAGAGCGTCATGATGGTGACTTCAGCACGGTCAGCAGAGGCAGTGTTTGTGTGCCTCTCTCTTTTGATTGTGTCTTTAGGTTTGTAACATTTACAGTATACATGAAGGTCTGTAGAATCATGAAATTTTAATGCTTACAGAGGACCTTTGCTTACTTAGTCTAATTCTTTAAGTTGTCTAATGAAGAAAAATGGGCCCAAGGAAATGAAAGAGACAGCATGCTAAAGACAGTAGAACTAGAACTTAGGTTATGTGGTTGCTAGGTCAGTGTCCATTCCACAGTGGATAATCAATCATTAAAGATGTTTGAGAAAAACAGAGCATATGAAAATCAGTTTTTATAGAGTGGCAGTAAGGCAGGAGAGAAGAAAGTCTAAATTTTTAAGGTCTCAAATTTGAATCTGGGGTAAAATTTACTAAATTAAATCTTAACAGGTTTTGACCTTTCTTTATTAACATTTTTCCTTTAAGACCCCTTTATTTAATTTTAATTTTAATTTTTTTTTGCAGATAAAGATACAGAGAAAATAGATCCCTTGAAAATGTTTTAAATGTTATACTGGAACATATATTAAAAAATTTACAAGATTAAGAGTTAATGAGCTTAGGGGTGCCTGGGTGGCTCAGTCGTTAAGCGTCTGCCTTCGGCTCAGGTCATGATCCCAGGGTCCTGGGATCGAGCCCCGCACTGGGCTCCCTGTTCAGTGGGAAGCCTGCTTCTCCCTCTTCCACTCCCCCTGCTTGTGTTCCCTCTCTTGCTGTCGCTCTCTCTGTGTCAAATAAATAAAATCTTAAAAAAAAAAAAAAGAGTTAATGAGCTTATTTTCTTTCATATCACTTACTGTTTTTTTTTCCTTCTTTTCCAGAATTTTATAGAAGTGAAGTGATTAAGAATTCCTTGGTAAGTTTGCTTTCTGACAGGTACACTTGACTAAGGTCTATAACTCCTGTTTCAGAAAATGCTGAGACATAAGTTCAAGTTCAGTTCTGGTATTTATTATGATACTTCTACAGTTAAATCTTCTGTTTAGTTATTGCTTAAATTTTCATTGATTTATTCATTGATGTATCTCTCATGCTTAGAACATGCCTGGCACATAGCAGGTGCTTGATAAATATTTGCTGAATGAACTGATATTTCTTCTGTTAAAAACTTCAGTGTTTTTTTCTATTCATATTCTGTAATTCTGTTAGTTTTATTCACAGGGGTTTTTTTTTCTATTTGATTTACCAAACATAAATGATGACTTTGTTTAGATAAGGTTCTTAAGAATTATATGTCTAGCGCCATTGCATAGGATCCTCCCACTTATTTTATTTTATTTTTTTTTAAAGATTTTATTTATTTATTTGACAGAGAGAGACACAGTGAGAGAGGGAATACAAGCAGGGGGAATGGGAGAGGGAGAAGCAGGCTTCCTGCGGAGCAGAGAGCCCGATGCGGGGCTCGATCCCAGGACCCTGGGATCATGACCTGAGCTGAAGGCAGACGCTTAACGACTGAGCCACCCAGGCGCCCCCTCCCACTTATTTTTTAGTGGTGGCATTGCTAAGGTAGAAAGTTGGAAGCGTCCTACTTTTGATAATGTACACATGAGATATTTGCATAAATGGCTCAGTTTATTGGGCCATGTTGATAAAAAAGGACTTTATGGGAATTATATACTTTTAGTGGTCAAGACTATACTGGATTTGGCCTCTGTCCACTTTTTCAACCTCATTTCTTAGTACTTTTCCTTACTCATTGTGCTCCAGGCATACCTCATTTTTTCAGTGCTTCAAACATGCCGAGCCTGTCTTCTTTCTTATGTCTAGAACAGTTGTTTCCCCAGCTCTTTGTTTGGCTGAAGATGTCTCTGAGGTCTCAGTTATAGAACTTTGGTTAGGTCTTCTATGACTATTCCATTGAAAGTGGTTCCCTTTCTCCTGGTCACTTTTTTTTACGTCACCTGTTTTATTTTCTTTAGAGCATTCATCACTCTTGGAAACTCTTGTTCATTCATTTGTTTGTGTTGATTACCTGTCTCCCACCTACTAGAACATAAGTTCCATGAAAGCAGGGACCTTGCCTAGAGTCTAGAATAGTATAGATACTCAGTAAATACTTGTTAGATGAATAAATGGATATCAGTGATGTGTTATGTTTACAGAATCCTTTTACATATGTGTTCCATTTTGATCCTTAGAACAATGTGTAAGGAGATGAGGTAGGTCTTAAGGAACTGACATCCAGAGAGGCCCAACAACTTTTGCAGTCACATAACTGTAGAACCAGATCCAAAGTTCAGACCTCTGTCTTCAGGTCTCTGCTACTCTTTCCTCTTTATCAAGCTGCCTTCTAATTGTCTCTAAAATAGAATAATAAGTTTGGATCCTAGGCCAGACAGTTTCCTTAAGCCTGTTTCTGAGGAGCTCCAATCATCAGTACAGCTCTTGTTCTACATATATTAAATGACTAGCACCATACCTGACACATAGTAGCTAATGAGTCAATATTAGTTTTTCTTCCTCCCCTGGCTCAGGTGAAAATAAAAGTGTCCTACAGATGATGGAGAGCTGGGGAAGAGTGGGTGGTTGCAGGGGCAGATAGAATAGAATTTCACCTTGATTTATTCTACCCCCCTTTTGATAGTCAAAAGTCTAGTTGGGAATGGTTTTACACCATCCCATTGGTTTTTCTCTGGATTTGTATCATAGTGGATCCTGTGCTAATAGTGCTATTTTAGTGTTGTCCTACCTTATTGTATTGTATTTACTTGCTATTCACTTGACTTTCAAGTTCCTATTTCTAAACACCATCTCTTTGAATGTTAACTCTTCAACTCTTTTTGGCTCCTATCCTCTGTTGCTTCTGAAATGTCTGTGAGGTTTTGATATCTTCATCCCTGGTGTACTTAGGTTGAATAAATGTTTTATAAAAATATTGTAGAATGGATTTCAGACAAGGGAGAGATTTGGACAGAAGACTTCCAAGGTCCTTTCAGGTTACAGTTTGTCCTGTAGTTGTTTCCTGGGGATCCCACTTGCAGCATTTGTGTCCATTGTGATTGTTCATGAACGGTTTCCTCTCCCAAAGTAGATGACAGCTTTTGGAGGTCAGGAGACTGCTTGAATATCTTTATGTCCCTCTAGCTCCCAGTGTACTTCTTGGGAGTTGTTGGATAAATGTTGATTTATGTTTCCTTTTAAGGATATTCTTTGATGTTATGATCTTTCTGGCAAGGATTCTTTTCTTTCTTTTATAGCTTAATATAGGTTTGATAAACTGCCATTCATTTTTCCTTTTCTTTTGGAAAGGACTCTTCCTTCTTTGTTTTCTGCTAAATCATTGTGACTGGTTCAGATTAATGGGCATTGAGCACCACAGGAGTCAACAACCTTCAGAGAATATGCTGGAGATGGCACATTATTACCTCCCTGCTTGCTGTTTCTGAAGAACCATGGATGAGCAAAATTTGTTGGTTTTTTTCCCTGCTTAGGAGTTGGTGATTCTTAAGCTGTTGTGATATTTGCTGAATAGAGTTAGTGATTTAAATGCTCTTATTCCTCCTGGTTGCCATTTGTGCTTGGCACATAGAAGGTGCTCAGCAAATGTTTCTTAATGAATGGATTCCTCCATAAATACGTTTATTGACTGACCTCTAAGTTATATCCTGAACCCCCAATCCTCAGTTAGCTGTTAAAGATTAGGCAACGTAATGCTTCATTTATTTTTAGCTGAAGCTTTGGGTAAATTTTCACTCTGGTGAGCTAAGTTGGACTCTGGTGAGCTTGTATTCTTTTTTCACTCCTATAACTTAAAGGCTTCATCTCTTTTCCCTAGGTTTATATTTTTAGCTTGGTCCCCAGACCACAGTGGCTGCTTTTGCCATTATGATGTCAAAGGAAACATGGAAAATGGACACAAGGTTAAAAAGAATGTTTTCGTCCAAAGATTAAATTGTCCATATGTGCCTATCCCTTGCATCTTTCTAACTCTTGGGTCCTGCAGATTAGTGCTGCGGTGCTGCCAGTGTTCTCTGCTCTGCCTGGTGCATTCGCCACTGCCCACATGCGGCTGCTGAGCACTTAGAATGTGGTGAAGTAGTACTGGAGACCTCAAGTTTTACTTCTATTTAATTTTAATTTAAATAGCCACCAGTGAGGGGCGCCTGGGTGGCTCAGTTGGTTAAGCAACTGCCTTCGGCTCAGGTCATGATCCTGGAGTCCCGGGATCGAGTCCCGCATCGGGCTCCCTGCTCGGCAGGGAGTCTGCTTCTCCCTCTGACCCTCCTCCCTCTCATGGTCTCTGTCTCTCATTCTCTCTCTCTCTCAAATAAATAAATAAAAAATCTTAAAAAAAAAAATTGTCTTAAATAGCCACCAGTGGCTAATGGATATTGTATTGGACAGCATGGTTCTGGATGCTTCTGAAGAGCTTTCTTACAGTCTGTACCATTAGCAGGAAGAGGTTTCCCTTTTTGTGTGCTTTGAAAAAACAAAACTTTGGGGGTGCCTGGGTGGCTCAGTTGGTTAAGGGACTGGCTCTTGATTTCAGCTCAGGTCGGGGGATTGAGCCCTGTGTGGGGCTTTGTACTCAGTGTGGAGTCTGCTTGAGATTCTCTCTCTCTCTCTGCCTATGCCCTGCCCCTACTCTCTCCCTCTCTAAGTAAATAAAAATCTTTGAAAAACAAAAAACAAAGAACTTTGTACTTACACCACTTGTACCATCCTAAAGCAGTGTAATAATTGTTCATACGGTTGTCTTAGCTTCTTCAATATATATGATAACCTTATAAAGGCAGGGACCTGTATGCTTCATCTTTATAACCTCCGTAGCCATTGTTCATGGCCTGTATTTGGCAAACAAGTAAGAAAAGAAAATAGCCTAAGCCAGGTTATTTCTAAGATACACCATTATTTTATGTTCACCAAGAAAAACAAACATTTCTAATTAAATTGAAACACAGGGCCTTCGTAATAGTCCTGAATAAGTTGTGATTCGCTCTTCCTAGCCTGTTGTTACTTTGAAATTTCTTTTACCCATTCCAAGGTATTTATTTAGCAGTCTTTCCTTCCTTTAGGTATATTGCTTGACCTGTGATGGGACTCTTTTGTATCTCAGTAACAAAATATAAGTACACTTTCTCAATCTGTGGGAATTTCATTTAGTCTTATAGAAAAGGATAGTTGAGGTTTTCTCTTCGTTGACAAATATTTGCTTCTCTAATACCAGATTCATGTTTTGTTGCTTTATGTCTGTGCCTTTTTGCCCACACAAAAACTTAATACTTTTTATTAAAGTTTAACATACATAAAGAAGAGTTTACAGTTCTTAAATATACAACTTGATGAATTTTCTGAAATTGAATATACTGGTATAACCAGCATCCAGGTCAAGAAAGAGAGTATTTTTAGTGCCCCAGAAGGCCCTTCATGCCTACTTCAGTTACTGCCACTGTCCTGATTTAACATCATAAATTAATTTTACCTACTTTTAAGCTTTACAGAAATGAAATCATACAGTATGCACTCCTTTGTGTCTGATTTGCACTTTATATTGAAAGAGTCTCAACTGTATATTTAAGAGTCATTCATATTGTGGGTATATTTGTAGTTTGTTTACTCTGTAATATTGCATTGTGTGAATGTACCAGAATTTATCTCTTCTTCTGTTGATGGGCATTTGGTTAGTTTCTAGTTTTTGAGCTAATATGAATAGTGCTGCTGTGAACATTCTCGTGTATATCTGTTGCTTGAACCTATGTGTACATTTCTGTTAATATGATACATATCTAGGAGTGGACCTGCAGGGAATATTCATATGATCCACTTTAGTATATATTGCCAAATAGCTTTTCCAAATTCTTGTTTCATTTACACTCTTGACCGCAGTCTTTGAGAGTACTGGGTTACTCCACA